ATACCAACATCAAAAACAGTGAAAGCAGGGGTTATATCACTTTTTGAACAGTGTTACCCCTTCCCATATTTTCTCCCACTTTCCCTTCATTGCCCCCCCCGCCAAGTTGTAAAGTTCATTTCCAACATAAGAGTCTAGTGAGCATCAGTGTTGTATTAGTTCACCCTTTGTCCTACTGTTTTGTGATTCCTCTTCCCTTTCACAAATCAGATAAACTTATATACAAGACAATGGGTACAGAAATTTTTTTAAAAAAACAGTGTCAACAGGAATAAACCAAAGGGGGGGAAAGAAAAAGAAATAACTGCAAATATTACATTTTAAAAGAGCCTCTTTCTCCATTTCTTGGAGTTCATTTTGATAAGCATCATTTTATATGGTCATATGCACCTAGGCATTGAACCATTGTTCTCCACTGCTAAGAATATCCTAAACATACAGCTCCCCTATGACCCAGAAATCCGACTCCTGGGCCTTTACTCAAATGATAACAAACAAGGCTACATGAAAGCTACCAGCACAATCATGTTCATTGCAGCATTATTACAATAGCTAAGATATGGAATCAACCTTAATGTCCCTCAGGAAATAAATGGATCGAGAAAATGTGATACACACACACACACACACACACACACACACATACACACAGAAACACACACACACACACACATACACACAGAAACACACACACACACATAAAGAATGGCATTGCCCCATTCATAAGGAAATGGAAAGACTTGGAAAAAACTATATTATACCATGTAAGTCAGACCCAAAGAAACACAGGCTGTATGTTTTCCCTTATTTGTAATGACTAGAAAATGTCTAGGATATTTTTAGCAGAGGAGCACAATGGCTCAATACTATATGATTTCTTAATTTGCTATTTTTCTCATTCAATGATAAGGCACAAAGCTATGAATTTATTCTGAAAATACTTTGAGTACTTTTGGATAAGTATTGTGGATCTGATGTTATACCAGCCAAGTAATAATAGCATTTAGATACTCTTTGACCAAATACTTATTGACATAATTTTAATAATTCAAGCTGTACTGTACATTTTTAGTTACTAAATTCTACACATTGCCTTCTTATTAAATCTAGGTCAAACTTATGATCTAAGTAGTTTTTACTCTGAGGAATTCATTTATACTGTTTGGGGGACAAGCCAATGGAAAAACCTCAAGCATGCATCCACTCTGTTTTATGATGAGTAGAATGCAATCTACAGTGCTATTAAGTACATTTATTACCTTATTAATTCCTCTGTTTCCAGTGTCATCTTACTTAGTATACAATCTCAAGATACTTTAATGTCTTTAACTCTAATTATGGTTTAGTATGACTATCCTCCTGTTTTCATAAGGTATTTTATGTACTTGGAGACCATATTATCTATGTCTTCCAATGGCAGTTATTTTTCCTGTCAATCCTTTTTTGCCTGACGTTAAAGTCAGTATGCTTGTTGTATTTATTGTTTATGTATTTGAGATGTCTGCTATCAGATGGAAACAGGACAACGAAGACTGATTTGGGCCACTAAGGTGTCAGATAGGAGTGACGTCAAAGTGTGGTTTACATCACTATTGATGAAAATACAATAGCTCTCGTCCAGCTACTGTCATGGTCAGAAACACCTCCTCCTGGAATACTCAGGTAGGGGCGATAATCAGTAAATGAACGGATCAAGAAGCTTTGGTATATATACACAATGGAATTCTATGGTTCCATCAGAAAGAATGACATTACCGCATTCTGAATGAAATGGAAAGATTTGGAAAAAAATCATATTAAGTGAAGTAAGCCAGATCCAAAGAAACATAGGCTCCATAGTTTCCCTCATTTGTAATAATTATATGTCTAGGACAGTCCAAACAGAGGATCACAGTAGCTCCATATCTATGTACATAAAACCATTTTATAGGGGCAGAGCACAGCAGATAAACAACAATAGTATATCCTCTCCATTAAGTCTTTTCTATGGGCAAGAGTTCTACCTGAATTGATATTTGAGTTCTGAAGAAGCTTTGATTGAGTTCACTAGCTACAGATTCAGTTCAGTTCCAGTACCATATTTAAATCAAAGTTATTTAAAGTTTGACTTTAAATTCTAGATGAATAGAAGAAATGTTATCCACTGTGAATGTAATATGCATGAATGTGTATATGTGTGTGTGTGTGTATGTGTCTGCAGTGCTCATTTCAATACATTAAGCATTAAAAATGTTTGAGATATAGAGTGAGCGAACTCTCCGAATGTATTGTCTGATTTTATCTATACCTCACATAAATAAAAATGAGCTTGTTTTGGTTAGAGTAGTCATCTATTCTCCTTCCTTAGGTCTACAAAAATAAAAGAACATTTATTATTCAGTACCCTTTACTTAATAATGCTTATGGTCAAATGTATTTTTCTCCTTGCTTTCATTGTATGCACTGCAAATATCCAAATAGAATAACAGCATTTTACAGCAATTTTGCCACAAGAAACTATTGAATGTAATTTCATATTATGAGAGAATAATGATGTATCACACCTCATTTTAATTTCAGTAACTGAGTGGGGAAACAGGAAGATTTATTATGAAGACCATTTCTGGTCAAGCACTAACGAGGAAAATTTCTGAGTCACTGGCTACCATGGTAACGAGACATTATCAAAATCTGATTAGCATGACCAGTGGCTACAGATGCAATAGGCTATACTTCTAATTGTGTTGTCTCTGCTTGCAAGATGAGCTTTATGTCTCTCAGAGGTGAGAGGGTGGCACAGCTCTGTTTATCAGAAATGTAACGTACCACATGCTCACAAATTAAGTTGAAATATCTAGTGGTGAGGATAAAGTTTGGGAAGCTTAATTTACACTCCAAGTTTGTATTTTAATGCTAATTAAAACAAACTTATTTGATAATTCTATATATAGCTTACAACATTAAGAAAAGTGATTTTATCTTTTTTCCTGTTGGTTTTAATGTATTTATAATGTACCATGTGGTAACAATGAGATGTACAAGACACTATGTTGAAAACTAACTTTACAATTTTGGGGGGAGGGGGAGGGAGGATTTGAGAGGTATAGAGGGAAGGGATGGTAGAGGCAAAACAAAGGAGGAGGTAACAATGGTCTATAGGAAATGTATTCATTACCTTACTCATGTAACTGTAATCTCTCTGTACAATATTTTTACAATAATATATATAAACACAAATACACTACTAGATGCAGAAAACAGATTTAAATAGATGCTTTACAAAAGAAGATAAAGAGGAATGGGGTAACGATGATTAAAAGCAAATGTCCTTACTTCCTTACCTATGTAACTGTCACCCCCAGATCATCGCCTTTTCAATTAAAATTAAAAAAAGAAAAGTGAGGAAAGGGGTAGTTTGGGAAGGATGGATGAGAATGATAAAAGGGATGATATTGATCAAGATGCATTTGTATTCATAAACTGCTGTGTTAAATGGCAATTCTGTACAACCACTTAAAGATAACAAAATTAAAAATAAGTAAAATGAAATGCACTCTTTGAAGTTCACTCTTATTACTAAAATTTTATGAATAAAGATATTTTTTAAAAATCATTTTACTTTATTATTATAGAGGTGATATATAGACAAGATTGTAATTACCTGAGTCAGGTCATGAGGACATTTCCTTCCTTACAGTGTCTTCTGTTCCCTCCCCCCGCCCAGTCCCTCCCTCCTGTCTACACCCACACATCGTTTACTTTCATCAATGTGCAGGGCACTCCACTGCTGCCCTTTTTCACACTTCCCCCCCCCCGTTCTGTCCCCTTCCCCACCCTCCCAAAGATATGCCAGTGAATACATCATATATAAGGCAAAGAAGGCCGAATCATCAAAAACTAAAAGCTAATATTATGTTTTTTGTTTGTTTCTTGGAGTTCATTTCAGTATGTATATTATTTTGTATAAATATGAAAAGGCACTTAGGCATTGTGCCTTTATGAGTCTCTGCTAAGAGTATCCTCTTTTGGTCTCACTGTGTGTATCTAGAATCCTGTATAATTTGTCATAGTCCAGTGCATTTTAGATCTAACTTGTTTGTCTCTGAGCTTGGCTTACCTCACTTAACAGGATATTTTTTAATCTAATTTGATTGACACTCATACCAAAGGTAAATCAAAGAAGAAGATATTTAGAGAAACAAAAATGGAGATGAATCAATAAGAAGCCCTCCTAAGAAGAAAACTTCCACGTGGAATAATGAAGAAACCACATCAAGAACTATGAGATGACAACAATGATGATTCCCCCGCAGAGTGAGAAAGGACACAAATCTGAGAGTGGTTAAAATGTGCCCAGTCCTAAAGAAAAACCACAGAAACTTCTCTCCCGTGGAGCTGTTGTGGCTGACCCAAAGCACTCATGGACAGAACTCTGTCTGCACAGAAGCAGTGGTTCTGGTATTCAGCAAAACATTTCCTTCTGTGTCCTCGGTCTTCAGGGGGCAAAGATTTATTGAATTCTGTACATGACAGAGCTCAATGTATTCAAAATTTTGTTCCCGTTCAGATCTTGAGTGCCATTGAATTTTTAAAGAAATTGATCACTGCTTTCTGATCCTTTTAAGTAGATAATTTAATTCTGAAAGGAAACTGTGCAATATGAAGAGAAACGTAGTAAACACTGGTATGCATTACTGAGCAGAAATCCGTGGGCTCCTGAGCATAAGGAAGCATTCATAATGCTGTCCGGAGAAGGTTAGTATCTTTGGGCCTCAGCCTGGGGACAAAATGTCACATGGATCAAATATCCAAAGCAATCAGCTTAAAGTCAGTGTGAGGAAAGTCAAAGGCACATTTTGTCTACACAGTTCCAAGTTCTATGGAGGGTTGTGCAGTTCCAGAGTAAGACAAAAACACTACATGATCTAAGTGTGCAGGGTCTCCACTAGGAAGCACGCACACTCCCCGAAGCAATTGGCTGCCAGGGGCCGGGGAAGGGAGGAAGGACAGTGTACACTGACCTGGGGTGGACGCAGCAGCCGGAAAGCCAGTCCGTGTGGCCGGAACCGGTGAGCAGCACGTTGCCCTTGGGTATGTTCACGAGCTTCCAGAGGCGATCCTCACTGCAGGAGATGAGCATGTCCTTGCAGGGGTGCATGAGGATGCTGCACGAGGAGAAGAAGGTGTGTTATGGAGGGGTAAGAACGAATGAGTAGCCTGTGAATCAATAAAGCGGCAAAGATGGTCTCATTTCCTGAAGGCAGAAGAGTGTGCATCCCGCTTGTCTAGAAGTTAGTGGTCATGGGCTCTGCCTCCCAGCTAAACCAATGAAGCTTGCCAACATCTGTCAATCGAAGCATCTTCACTGCTTGTAAAAGGAACCAGTTGTCATAGGGGTTCATGAATGTCTCCTGCTGGTTTTAAAACAATAATTCTGGTTCTTTTCGGGAAGAAAAGTTATGCTGATGATATTTTGTGTTAGGATATTTGGACCCGTGGGCCATGCTGAGTACAGAAAATCAGAATTCTTTTCAGATGACTATCTGTCTTAAATCAGGCATTATTCTGGAACAGAACATCATGAATCATAACTACGCTTTGGGAATTCTATAATAAATAGTATAAATGAAACATTAACTCCATGCTCCACTATCTACACAAAGCCATGAAGCTCAAATTCTGTGGGAACTTACTACTTAAACCAACTCCAGTCAATGCACAGCACACAAATTACATTAGTGAATTCAAGATGCATCGGCAATTCCCATTCTATAAAGGCGTAGAAGGAAATGAGAAGTTAGTATGTAAAATTAATGATTAACACATTAAGCACTCCTATTTGAACTGGACTCTAATCATTGTGGCTATTTAAATATTAGAATTAAGCCATTCTAAAAGCATGAGTCTACAAGGTTAATGCTTGATATTTTATCTTGGGCAGTGCTTTAATCTTTTTAATATAGAGCCTCATCTGTATCTTACCATGTAATGGGGACAAATGTGTCCAATGTCAAGCACCTATTAAAATGCCCTAAACATTAGCAACAACTGTTCAATTTCAGATTGGCTCTCTCTACTCAAAACATATTTGCATGCATAGATAATACAAAGAAACAATCAATGACTTAAAAAAATAGCAATCTCACATTCTATGAATGACTTTCTTATTTTCTTCTGCAACATGAACATTAGGAGATCAATTTCCCAGTGTAGTTCTGGTCCACACTTAGGTAACAACAAACTATTTTCCCCATTACCTATTTCTTCCATCAACACTATTAATCCCTCAAATTATGAGGTGAAACCTAATTTTTATGGGTTAGGCCCGTGTAGCTTTGGAAATAGGGTGGTGTCAGAGTCCAGCTCCGAATGTTGTAACCACTGTAAGGCCCTCTTTCAAGAGAAATGTTTCTGGTTGGCTTTTCAATTTTCTTTTTGTGCCACTCCTGGGGCTTAAACTCAGGGCCTAGGCACTGTCTCTAAGCTTTTGTGCTCAAGGCTAGCATTCTGCTTCCAGCTTTTTTGATAGTGAATTGGACACAAGCATCTCAGGGGCTTTCCTGCCTGAGCTGGTTTCGAACCACTATCCTCAGATCTCGGCCTCCTGAATAGCTAGAATTATAGGCATAAGCCACCTGTGCCCAGCTCTTTTATAAATATATATGTGTGTGTGTGTGTGTGTGTGTGTGTGTGTGTGTGTATTGCTGTGTAAAAAAGAAAACACAGTGGAAGGAAAATCATTCATTTTACAATTCATCATAATGTTGCTCTGTGACTTTCAGAAGGCCAATTCAAGAAAGAAATTTATTATAGCTGGGTAGAGGATACATTTATGGAACTTAATTAGAAGAAAAATATGATGAGAAGTAAAAAATGTCAGACTGAAATGAATTCTATATTCAAATACACACAAGAAGGCAGGACAAATCCTTGAAGCTACTGAGTATGATGTATGTTGGCTTGCAGCTTTCCTGGCAGACACACGCGCACCTGACTATGTGATATATTACCCTCTTTAAGCGAAGATAACTAAAATCATTGATGTCTTTACAAACTTTGAAAGATAAGTTTCCAAAATGATTTTTGTAAGAGAATCTATTTGTAGAAGGTAAGAAAAATATATAAACACGAACTCACTGAGGGTCAGTGATTTTATTCTGACTCTCCTCATCCCTTCCACATTGAGAACTTCTGGACTCTTGTATTCCACATTATGTGTGTTTATATTCATACATGTATATATTTGAGATATACAGGGCCCCCCTTTTCTGTGCAAAAGCACAAGAAGATGCATAAAACTACAGATAGTACTAAACTCTACTGTTACTATATTGTTCTTATGCATACACATCTGTGGTAGTTAAATTTAGAAATTAAGCTCAATAAGAGATTACCAAAAATAACTAGTGCTTAATTAGAACAATTACTATACTTGTTTGTTTAGGGTCTAAGAACTCACAAAGGTATTACCTTTTCGGTCTCAACTAAGCACTTAAGCATGCATAATGCTTTAACATTTTTAGGGGAAGGATGGCTTGGGATTGAATTCAGCCTCATGCTTGCTAGACACATACGCTACCAGTATGGCCCAGAGTCTTGTGGTCACAAAATTTGAGTATAACAACAAAACTGGAACAATTTTTCTTTTCCTTCTTCACAGCTTCTTGGCTACAAGATTTGTTCTTACCCTAGAGTTTAGCAATGCTTCTGGCACTACTTTTCCTGTTTAAATCAAGACCTTCAGCATCTGATAGATTCTGTTTGACACAACTGACCTTTGGGGACATTATTAAGTACAACAAGAGACCAGACCCTTGAACATGAGCACTATGGGTTGTGAGCATGAATCTGAATATGAAAACTCCTTGGTGACTCGTGAGCAGGGAGTATATACAGAGTGGATATGCTATAAAAGAGGGGGTGATTTCCGTCTGAGAGGAGCTGGGGCAGGACAGCACGGAACTATTCAGAACAGTGTATAATTTAAAAGTTATGAATTATTTCTGGAATCCCATTTTCTGTTTTTGAGCCTCAGTCGACCCCGGGTAACTGCAACCACAGAGGAGGGGACTACGTTTAAACTCATCCCCAAATGACGGTTTGCTGCTGATTCTGGATATATTTTTGTCAGGCACCAATAGTCTATTCTTCAAATCGTATTTCAGTTCATCCATGAAATAGTCTTTAAGTGAACAGAAATAATTTGAATTACAGAGGGGGAGGATTTAGTGGTTTCATAGCAATCAATAAATACCTGTTCTGAATAAATGCTGGCATTGAACAATTGTGCCATTGTTCTAAAGACCCCTGATGAAAAACTGTAGGTCCCATTTCAGATAACAGTGGGGCATGATCAACAGGAAGGATGCAGGACAAGCGCTGTGGACCAGGAGTCTTCCCTCAGATAGAATCAGCACTAGTAATAAAGGCAAAATGAGGCATTGTTGTCTGAAGTCATGCACTTTCCTTCAACATCATTATCCAATATGGATGATCATCTAATGTGGCCTCACAGTTAAATGTCCTCCACACCCTCTACCAAAGACAGGATTCTCACAGGTGAAATAAAAGCTCATGAGAGCAGGCATCTATATTTGTTTTGTTTGTTGAATGCTGCAGGTTCACGAGGGGCTGGCCCACAGAAGCAATCTGAGAAATGCTGTCAACCATATGACTAAAGAATCAATCCTGGGGCTACCAGAATTGTTATTTTAGGCTGAAATAAAATATCCCATGTTTTGATTATCTCAATAGATGCAGAAAAAGCATTTGACAAGATTCAACACCCTTTATGATAAAAAGCTCTGGAAAAACTAGGAATCCATGGAATATTCCTCAATATAATAAAGGCTGCTCATGGCAAACCCATAGCCAGCATTGTACTTAATGGCGAAATTCTAAAGCCATGAGACAAGGATGTCCACTTTCTCCACTTCTCTTTAATTTAGTATTAGAATGCCTAGCTACAGGAATAAGACAAGATGCAAACATAAAGGGGATCCAAATTGGGAAAGCTGGAGAAAAACTCTCCCTCTTTGCAGATGACATGATTGTGTATTTAAAGAATCCCATGGACTCCACTCCGAAATTACTTGAGCTGATACTAAACTTTGGCAAAGTAGCAGAGTATAAAATTAACCCTCAAAAATCTAACCCCTGTTTTCACTGTTTTTGATGTTGGTATAATTTATGGAGGGGAAGGAAAAAAACAAATTGTTTAAATACGGATACAGGTGGACCCACTGCACCAATGAGATGTACAAGATATTATGTCAAAAATGAACTTTACAAGTTTGGCACAGAGGTGGGGGGTCGGGGGGGGCGATGGGAAGGGATAAGAAGGGGAAACAAAAGAGGAGGCAACAATGCTTGATAAGAACTGCACTCATTACCTCGCCCATGTAATTGTAACACCTCTGTACGGTATTTTCACAATGAAAAAAATTCAATAGCTTCTCTGTATGTCAACAATGAGAAGAGTGCAGCTGAAATTAGGAAAGCAACTTATTTTGTAATAGCCCTACAAAAAATAAAATACCTAGGAGTTAACTTAAGAAGTGAAGGGCCTCTATGATGAAAACTTTAAAACCTGAAAAAGGAAATCAAAACAGAACTTAGGAAGTGGAAAAACCTGCCATGCTCCTGGATTGGGAGGATTAGCATCGTGAAATTGGCAATACTTCCCAAGGCTATCTACAAAGTCAATGCGATACCTATCAATATTCCAATGTCATTCTTCAATGAAATAGAAGAATTCATATGGAACAATAAAAGACCCCGAATAGCAAAAATGATCCTTAGCAGAAAGAACAGTGCTGGAGGAATATTAATACCAAATTTCAAACTCTACTACAAAGTCAAAACAGCTTGCTATTGGCACAAGAACAGGCCTGAGGACCAATGGAATAGAACTGAAGACCCAGAACTGAACTCATAGACCTAAAAAAAATAGGAAAAAAAACCCTAAAGCTAGGTCCTTATATATCACCCTGCACTAAAATCAACTCCAAATGGATCAAAGATCTCGGAGTCAAAGCACACACCCTGAAAACATTACAGGACAAAATAGTAGAAACTCGAGGGCTCCTTGGCACAGGAAGAAATTTTCTTAATTGAGACCCAGAAACACAACAAATCAAAGAAAGGTTGGACAAATGGGATTGCA